TAATATTGGCTCACTAATTGAGGCCTCTATGGGCTTCATAGCTCCTGCTTATATTTATGAGATTTACCCTTGGTGTGCTTATTATAACTCAGCCATGAACCCTTTGACTTATGCTTTATTTTATCCTTGGTTTAGGAAAGCTATAAAAGTCATTTTAAGTGGGAAACTTCTAAAAGGTAGCTCATCAACCATTAGTTTATTTTCAGAATAAATGTAAGCACTAAGTTAAGAAATTTAAGGATCTTTTCAAAATTTTAAATTTATGATGAAATTAAATATAAGGAATACATAAAACCTTTCAAAATTGGGGAAATAGTTTTCAGATTAGCCAGAAACAAAGTCATGAGAAGGTGTCTCTATTAAACCATTGTAAAGGTATTTACTGTACTAAATAATAAATGATAAAATGCTTTTACATATGTCAACTGTCTCAATGCTCCATATACATCCTTACCACAAGTTCTGCTTTCTTCAAATTTTATTAAATTCTTAATTTCATTTTAGTTGTGAAATCTCTCATCATCTTCTCTGTGATGCTGAACTCTCATTTATCTTCAGAAAGTCTTTCTTCCTTTTCTTTGCCACACTATTCCGCTTTGCTAGGGTCATTATAACTGAAGGGCACAAATGGAGTGGCTTAAAAAAGAGAAATTTATTTTCTCACAATTCCAGGCGCTAGAACTCTAAAATCAAGGTGTCAACAAGATCATTTCTTCTGAGGAGCCTCCCTTTCATCTTCCCTCTGCATCCTCACCTGGTCTTTCCTCCGTGTGTGTCTGGGACCCTATTTCCTCTCTTTATAAGAACACTAGTCCTTTTAAATTAGGGCTCATCCTAAAACTCATTTTAACTTAATTACCTTTAGAAAGACCTTATCTCTAGGTATGGTTACTTTCTGAAGTACTGGGAGGTTAGGACTTTGACATATACATTTTGGGGGATATGATTTAGCCCATAACAGACAGAGTCCAGGTTTGATGACACTATCCAAGGGTCTGTTTGTTTGCTGCTCCTCTGTGACTATTTCTCCCTGTTCTCTCAATGTCTGTACCTTCCATGAGCTTTGGTGCAATAGGCAAGCCTCTCCTGCTCAATGGCTGGGCAGAATCTAGGAATGTTTACTTGTAATATTGTGGGACCAATAATTCAGCCTTGGGATCAAGTGTTAATTACTGACATTGCCAGAAGTTTTGCAAGTGGAAAAATCATCAATTATCATTAGTGGTTGTTTCTACACCTAAATTTCTCACTTGAAAATTGTGTGTTTTTCACTTCCCAAGAATGTTGTGGGATCGAAAATTTTATGCTAGTATTGCAAACTACTTCTATTGAAAACAGCATAAACAATGTGTGTTCTAATTTTACATTTTCCCCCCACAATATTTTACACTATTAATTCAACAAAAGTTATTTTGGACTACATATCTGGAGTATTTCACGTAATGAAACTAAATTGTTGTGGAATAATGCTGTTAAACATTTTTTCTTTTCCTTTTTCTTTTTCAGTTTATCTGTAGAGTAGCCCAGTTAAAATGATTGATGTATTTTTTTTCTAATTTGTTTTCACTAAGACTTTTTATTTCTTTCAAAGAGATATTGAGCATCAACTATATGAAAGTGCCTGTGTCAGGCATTGCTAAAGATAAAAAAATGTATTTTATATACTACTTTTCTCAAGGAAAGTAATTTTGTAGGTAATACGAACAACACATTTTAAACTATATTATTGAGGAAGGAAAAAGTGTCAGAGATGTTAAGTCCTGTGAACAGAAGACTCATTTGCCATCACAAGGCTGGTACCTGGTGTTGGTCATTTCTATAATATTGTCTTTACACACACATGTAGTCCCATGACCTGAGGAGATAAAAATTGCAAAAGGAGACAATTTAAGGGTAAAAGGACTTTTGATAGTGCTACTAGCATGTTTGGAGTTGTGGAAGCAGACAGGAGTGTGTACATTTTGTTTTGACAAGAGGAGTAATATCCATAAATGGAGACTTGAGCTTCGCAGATTAGAAGATAATAGGTAGATTAGGAGTGTAACAGTCTATAAATAAAGTTTCATTTTTTATCACTTACTATCCTTAATAGATCAGGTTAGCTGTAACAAATTTAAAAAATAATATGATATTCTCTATTTTTAGAGTATAGAGGACAAACATAGATAAAACTAAGGGAAAGATTTAGATAAAAGTCCCAGTCTAAAAATCTCTCACAGTATTGCACTGTTGCTAAATTAACTTATAAGTAATGAATATAACAAAAGTTGAAAGAAAAATTAAAGATTTTTGAAATTTATCCTATGGCCTGGAAAAATATTGTATTATTATGAATGACACAAAAAGCTCCAATAGAATTCTAAATATGGAACTTCTTTTGAACAAGTGGTAGATATGTAGAACTTCACAGAGGAATGAGACAGTAAGAGGTTAGATTCTTCCATATATATCATGATCATCTTTCCTACGTGTGATTGTGACTACCACAGATATGCTGATTGTAACTCTCCAATAATATAAGCAAATAATGCCTTTGTTAGTACAAGATGATACCTCTTTGGCCTTAGATGACTGAATTAAAGTTGGAAGTATGATTCCAGGAAAACGTATCGCTAGGTTGGGCTGAATCCATCATAACATCACTCACGAGAATACAAAGTAACATACCAGTTCATGTTACTAGTAAGCATTAGAATAAAGAAAAGATTCCTGGATTATGCCTATGTTCTGCTTCTCTAAGTTCTGATGGCTCATTGTTTCCTTCATTAATATGATAGAAAAATGTATTTATCATAAAAATTAAGCAAAGCACAAGAGGTAGAAGCATTCTCTTTAAGGTCCAGGTAAGGAAAAAATGGTTCAATATTATCACATTGCATAAATACTGTTTCAGAAGTACTAATGAATGCAATTATACAAGAGAAATAACTAGATATAGAAAATCAAAAATAGGAAATTAAGTTATTATTTGCAGCTGATATGACTAAAAACAAATTTGTCTAAGTCTGCCTGGGTGCCATTGAAAACTAGTGCCAAATACCAAACACATAGAAATAGAGATTACAGACATATATTCCTCTTGATTATTTGATTTACTTAAGATGTAAATGTACTCAGTGACTTTGGTTTAAACTACATGTACCACCTAAGAAAATCCCCCTATTACGATTATTAATACTTTACGCAGAGCAATTCTCCTGCTAGGACAACTAGAAAATCTGGAAAAGATATTGTTAAAATCTTTAAAATATTACAGAGATTTAAACTTAGTCAAGAATTACCCAGGATTCAGAACAAAAGGGAGTTCAAAGAGGTGAATCTAATATTTAGGGCAACTGTTTTAAACGGATATCAGGCAGTTCCAGAAAAAAACATTGAAAAAGATGAGAAACTAAGC